AGCGCGCAACTGGATGGGGGGGCTGCTGTTTTTGTGCAGGCATGTGCTTGCACAGGGTCCTGGCCGTGTTGCATGTGTGTCCTTGCACAGGATGATGGGGCTGCAGGGGCAGGGAGGGGTGGGCTCACATGAGGTTCTGGCCATGTGCACATGTGTGTGAGTATGTGTCCTTGCATGGGGTGATGTGGCTGTGGGAGCACATCTGTGTGTGGACTCACAGCAGGCTCTGGCTATGTGCACTCACGCATGTGTTCTTGCATGAGGCAATGTGGCTGCATGTGTACGTACCTTTGCACGCTCCCATGGCACTTCTTGAGCCCATGCATGTGTGCTCGCACAAGACTGGCCCTGCTCACAGTTGCTTGTCTCTGGAGCTGCGTGCCTCCTTGCACACCACGCTGAGTGGCTGGCAGCCCCTGTTGCAGGATGCTGCCCTGCAACCCGGCTCAGAAACAAGGATCGGGGGAGGGAGAGAGATCCCTGCCTGTGGGATCCAAAGGACATTGCGTCCCCTGAACTCCCCGCGCTGGCCTGGCTGCCCAGCACAGAGCCTGCGGGGCTGGCAGAGTAGTGCGGGGGAGTATGAGCACGGGGTCCTTCGTACTTGTCTGCACACGCTCGGCAACACGCTTAATCTGAAGCGACACCCCAGGGCTGCCGTACCATGCTGGAACTGTGATACTGAGGACGGTATGGGGGCAGGGACTCATGCCTCTCCGAGCAGATCCATGAGGATGGGAACTGGTGTGGCAGAGTGGCTCAGGGGCCCAATCTTGGACTCCCAGGATCCCCGTAAGGGACAGCACCTACACTCGCTGCTGTGCTGCTCACCTGTGGAACTTCCTGCTACATGATTTTGTCACAACCATCCTCGGGATCTTGGCACTTCGAGGTCAAAGCACAGTACACCCAACCTGAAGGATGGGTTGCAGGGGGTAGTGTGCTGGACTGGGAGCCAGGACTCCTGGGTGCTAGCCCTGGCTCTGCCACTGAGCTTGGGCAAGTCTCTTTGCCTCTTGGAGCCACTGTTTCCCCTCCTCTCTTTTGTCTATTTAGACTGTGAGCTCTTTGGGGTGGGGATTGTTTATCAATGTATGTCTACACGGGCCCTGGTGTGGCGGGGCCCGGGTCTCAATTGGTGCACCATGTGGCATGTCTGGGCTCTGATCTCAGCTGACACCAGTGCAAATAATAATGCGTCAACTCTTCTTAGAATTTACTCGCCCAGGATTTAAGTGGTGGCTGTTCCTGGCTCAGTGGTGTAATTCTACTTGTTGTGCTGTGCTTAGACACCCAGGTTGCTATGATATGGAGAGGAAGAATGAGAATTGTTTGATCATTTTCTTGTAGCAGAGAGTTCCTCAGGTGAACAGTGTAGCACTTGAGAGCCTGTTAGACAAGAGCCAGTGGGGGTTTCACCCAAAGTTCATTGGATGTTGCTGCTAGCACCAATCTTGTTCTGCATCTGTGTGCATAGTGGGGTGTTTAGGGGAGAGCATCCTTGATTTGATGTGCCTTAAACTTAATCAAGACCATACTGCTCTTGACCCTGATTTGGGGTCAGGAATATATTGCAATCCAAGCTTCATGGCATGAATCCTAGTTGTGTTTCTCCTAATTCCCCAGAAGAGCTGGGTGGAAGGAGACCTTTGTGGTTAGGGCACTGGGATTCAGGACTCCTGGGTTCAATTCCCAGATCTGCGACAGACTCCTCCCTGAACCCAGGAGTCCTAACTCCCCCTCCCCTGCTCTAACACATTAGACTCCACTCCACTCCCAGAACTGGGAATAGAGCCCAGGCATCCCGATTTCCAGCCCCCCTCTCTCTCTAACCCAGTAAACTCCACTACCCTCCCAAAGGTGAAGATAGAACCGAGGCCTCCTGTCCCTCCCCCCGATTCACTGTGTAAAACCAGCCCCCATGTACATTCTTTTTCCCCATCCCGTGTTTGTGACTGCATTGCTCCAAACTGTGGCTGCATGGAGAGCCCACCATCCCCTTCCAGCTCCCTGTATCTCCCCCGAGGCTGACCTGCAGGCCACCACCTGGCTGGTGGGAATGTGACCCCATCACTCTGGGCAGCAGGAATCAATAGTTAATTAATTTCCTCCTCTAAAATAGACAAGGGGGGTGGGGATGGTAAGGGAGCTGGGAGTAGAGGGTGCGGTAAGGTAAGGGGGGACAGCGGGCAGGGGGAGGAGGTGGGGATTGTAGGGGGGGAGAGGGAGGGAAGGAAGTAGGATGGTAAGGGGGAGGAGGTGCAAGGGTGAGGAGAGATGGGGGTTGAGGGGATGAGTTGGGGGAGTGAGAAGCCCGGGGAGGAGGTTCGACTGAATCCAACCCTCCACTACAGTCTCATCCCTTGGTGCAGTCTGCTGGGATTTGGTGGGGGCAGGAAAAACTACCCCTCACCCCCCCCACACACCCGAGCGACCCAGTGGGGATGATGGCGCTGAGGAGGGAGAATTGAGGGGCTCAGAGCCCAGCCCCCCAGCACACTGCTCAGGCGTCAATCAGTGCCTCCCCTCGCACAGGTGCAGCATTTAATGTGATTGGCTAATTATGCAGCGCATGCTAATGGCCCCCATTACCCAATGAGGGGCACAGACGAGGCACAGTTATAAATAACCTACCGTACCTCATTTGCATGATGCCATATCCCCGGTGCTGTGTTACCGCGGAAACCGCCCCTTCCCCCACCCCATTTACATTTGTTCTTTTAATAGATTTTTGGGGTGACAGGGTGTTAATGAGGGTTGGTTGCCATGGTCGCTGGGTAGGGGTAACAGGTTCGACCAATGGGCCCACCCACCCCAGTATCTCACCTCCTCCTGCCGCCTTGCATCAGATCCATGGGCCCATCCAGCCTGATATTCCCTGACCCACCCCCAGATAAGACCCATCGGCCCATCCAGTCCCTGCTGCCTCTGTCCCACCCCCTCCTCTTTCTGCTCCTTTCCCCCTCTCGCTGTGCCCCCCTCTGCCTATAGTATGCCAGTGGTGGGTGGGTTATAAATAATGCCTGACTGACAGCGCAGTGATGAGATGCAGATTGTCGCAGGGGGGAGGGGGAAGGCTGTAAATGGCATATGGCCCACGGGGAGGGTCTGATCAAATAACATGGCAGTGGGGAATGGTCTGTGCAAATAACGGGGTGGGCTGGGATTGTCCCTGTGCAAATAAGCCAGTGTGTGTGGGAGTGCTGGCGGGAGCCGCCCTAGTCCCCTGGAGGTTGGCATCGAAGGCAGCTGCTCTGGTCACCTACCCCTGGAACAACTGGGGCTGGGGCCCTGTGCAAAGAACACGGTGTGTGGCTGGGAGAGCAGTCGGCACTGGGCCCTCAGCAGGGTTGCTTGGGGGGCAGATGTCAGAACAAGTCCAAAGGGAGGGTGGAGGAGCAAGGAGTAGACTGAGGGGAGGAGGGAGCAGCATCTGTCCCTATGACAATGGTATGGCCTGCTCTGCCCCTCCCCCCATCCTCCCTATGAGAATATGACCTGCTCCCTCCTCCCCCCATCTTCGCTGTGAGAATGGTACAGCCTGCTCCCGCCTCTCTCTCTCCTCCCCCCCCCGTGAGAATGGTATGGCCTTCTCCCACCTCTTCACCTTCCTCCTCATTGTGAAAATGGTACAGCCTGCTCCCACCTCATCCCCCTCCTCGCTGTGAGAATAGTATGACCAGATCCCTACTTCTCACCCCATTCTCACTATGAGAATGGTATGGCCTGCTCCCCCCTCTCCTCCCATCCTCACTGTGAGAATAGTGTGACCTGCTCCCTCCGCTCCCCCATCCTTGCTGTGAGAATGGTAGGGCCTGCTCCTGCCTCTTCCTCCCTGTTCTTGTTATGAGAATGATGCGGGCTGCTCCCACCTCTCCCCATGTCCTTGCTGTGAGAATGGTACGGTCTGCTCCCACCTCTCCCCTCCCTTCACTGTGAGAATGGTATGGCTTGCTCCCTCCTCTCCCCCTCATCTTTGCTGTGAGAATGGTATGGCCTACTCCCTTCTCTTCCCCCCTCCTCACTGTAAGAATGGTATGGCCTGCTCCCACCTCATCACCCTTCTCCTCTCTGTGAGAATCGTACGGCCTGCTCCCACATCTTCCCCCCCCCACTGTGAAAATGGTATGGTCTGCTCCCACCTCTCCCCTCCCTTCACTGTGAGAATGGTATAGTCTGCTCCCGCCTTTTCACCTTCCTCCTCACTGTGAGAATGGTACAGCCTGCTCCTCCCTCTCTCCCTGCCCATCCTCGCTGTGAGAATAGTATGACCTGCTTCCTCCTTCCCATCCATTCTTGCTGTGAGAATATGACCTGCTCCCTCCTTCCCCCCATTCCGCGCTGTGAGAATGGTATGGCCTGCTCCTGCCTCTCCCCCTCGTCCTTGCTGTGAAAACGGTACGGCCTGTTCCGCCTCTTCACTCCCCTCCTCGCTGTGAGAATGGTATGGCCTGCTCCCACCTCTTTATCTCTCCCCTCCCCATCCTTGCTGTGAGAATGGTATGGTCTGCTCCCGCCCCCCCCCGTGTGAGAATGGTAAGGCCTGCTCCCTCCTTTCCACCTGTCTTCCCTGTGAGAATAGTATGATCTGCTCTCACCGCTCCCCCTCCCTGTGAGAAAGGTACAGCCTGCTCCCACCTCTTCCCTCCCCTCCCCTCACTGTGAGAATGGTATGGCCTGCTTCCTCTTCCCTCTCCCCTACCCAAAATCCTGTTGGATGCGGGGTGGGGTGCTACTTGGCCTCCTGCGTGAGCTCTGATTGGCCACCCTCCCACAGGAGGTGGGGAAAGTGGGGAAGAGCAACCAATCAGAAGAGGTTCTGGGCTGGAACTACTATGAGAAGAGGAATTTCTGGGGAGAGTAGCCAGCCCTAGGGTTGGGGGAGGGGGTGTTCCCTGAATGCCTGGGTTCAGCCCCCGGCTATGGGAGGGTGGGCTGCGTTGTATTAATCCTTTAGTGCACGTGGCCTGGCCTCACACGTCTCCTCTTTCTCCTCGCAGCTCCGCCCTCCTGTGACGCGACGCCGGAGCCGGGCTGAGCACGCCCTGTGGGCGCGGCTGGCTCTGCACCCCACCGGAGGAGGATGCTGTAACTTGCTGGAGCTGGACCTGGAGCCTGTGATTGGTGGAGGCTGGGTGGGGGGAGGGGGTTGAGTTGGTGGGGGCCTGAATTTGTTCTCTCTGACTTCTGGATATTTGGATTCTGGCATCCCATTGCCCCTTGTCACTGAGTGGTAGTGAAAGGCCACCACCCTCCCTCTGAGCGGAGCCCCCCACTCATCTCCACCTGCTTCCCGGCCTGCAAGGAAGGCAACGCACCACAACCCCGCCTGCCCCTCCCTCCCCCCATCCAGCCGCCTGCCCCCCCCATGAGGATCTGAGGCTGTGGCAGTGGGGGGGCGGCGCCCAGCATTTGCCTTGAGGGGGGGGCAGGGACAGATGAGACTGGGCGCCATGGCCAGACTGCTGCCCTTGGCACTGCTCATGGGTGCCCTGCTGGGCCCCGGGGCAGGCGGGGCGGCGCTGGAGTTCGGTGGCGCCACGGGGCAGTGGGCCCGCTATGCCCGCTGGGACGCCAGCTCCTTGGGGGAGCTGAGCTTTAGCCTGAAGACAAACGTCTCGCGGGCGCTGGTGCTTTACCTGGACGACGGGGGGAACTGCGACTTCCTGGAGCTCATGATCGCTGACGGGCGCCTGCGCCTGCGTTTCACCATCTCCTGTGCCGAGCCTGCCAAGCTGCACCTGGAGACGCCCGTGGATGACGACCGCTGGCACATGGTGCTCCTGACCCGCAACTACCGGGAGACCATGCTGGTGGTGGACGGTGAGGCCAAGGTGGCCGAGGTCAAGTCCAAGCGGCGGGACATGGCGGTGGAGAGCGACCTCTTTGTGGGGGGGATCCCGCCCGACGTGCGCCTCTCGGCGCTTACCCTGAGCACCGTCAAGTACGAGGTGCCCTTCAAGGGGCTGGTGGCCAACCTCAAGGTGGGCGACACGCCGCCAGCCCTGCTGGGCAGCCAGGGCATCCGCAGCGACACGGAGTACCTGTGCACCAAGCAGAATCCCTGTGCCCACGGGGGGCTCTGCAGCGTGCTGAATGGCGAGGTGCAGTGCGACTGCAGTATGACCGGCTTCCAGGGCAAGTTCTGCAGCGAAGGTGAGACCCCAGGGGATAGGAGGGGAGGGCGAGGGTTTGGAGCAGGGGTGTGGCCCAGATGGCTCACTGTCCCTCCCCAGAGTGAGGGCATTGCCGTAGGGACAGGCTGGGCAGCAGCAGAGAGAGCTCGACCCTCTCACACCCTCACAGCGTGCTCTCCCCTTTCCCAGGGTGGTGTCGGGAGAGAGGGGCTTGGACTTGTCAGTTCCGTCAGCCCTTGGCCTCCGCTTTGTGCCACTAGGAGTCTGGCTGAGCTGTCACAGCCATGGCGCCTGACTGGCCGGGATGGGCTCTGTGCAAACTGGGAGAGAGTTTGGGGTGTCAGCTATCCAGGTTTGTGGTGCAGATTTGGGCCTGGCCCCATCTCTTCTTTGGCACCTTCTAGCAGGGAATTCAGAGGAGGGGACAAGGATGGAGAGGCTGCAGGCTGGAGCCTTTGGGGATGTCACTTTGTGGGGATCTTATTTATTTTATTATCGGGGTTTGTTTGCAGGTGTTGCTGTTCTGTGCTGGTTGTCGAGGCTTACAAGGTTAGAGCACGGGGCTGGGAGCCAGGACTCCTGGGTTCTATGTCAGCTCTGTGAGGGGAGTGGGGTCCAGTGGTTCTAGAGGCTGGGTTGCTGGAGTGGGGGAGTCTCTGGCTTAGGTTGGTGGTTGGGAACTGGGTTATACTGGCTTGGGGAGGACACTTTACCAGCTTAGCCCAATGAAGTTTGGCTCCTGGCCTACTGGGTGTCCTGGGGCAAGTCACTTCCCGCTCTGTGCAGCAGTTCCCTAATTTGTCAAATGCAGGGAATAATCTGACTCTGTGTGTCTGGGCAGCGCTTCCCTGACGGGGGCCCCGAGCTCAGTGTGGGGTTTGGGTCAGTGCAGTGCTTCCCTGACGGGGGCCCCGAGCTCAGTGTGGGGTTTGGGTCAGTGCAGTGCTTCCCTGACGGGGGCCCTGAGTTCAGTGTGGGGTTTGGGTCAGTGCAGCGCCTGACCTGACAGGGGGCCCCGAGCTCGGTTGGGAGACTTTTAGTGCTATTGTAAGGTCTGTCAGGTTCACGGGTACCAGGCTGGCCTGTGTGTTGTCCATCTTCCTTGAAAGCCGAGTGAGTCAGACAGATCGGCACAAAAAAACTCATATTTTTTTGTGGAAAATTTTGAAAAAATCCTTTTATTGCCCATGCAATTTCCTGTGATTTCTTTTTAATGAAAACTCACCTGTCTTCCCCCCCCAAAATCAGTTCTCAAATAAACATTTTGTTCCCCAACTGATTTTTTTCCCCGCCTCATTTTCAGTTTTTCAACCAGAAATCAGAAAATTTTAAAGGGAAGAACATTTTTCCGAGAGGATTTCCCATTCCTTTAGTAAAACGTGTTATTTCAAAAATAAAGTGTCTGTGAACACTTCCTATCTGAGCCCTGAACTCAAGTCACATTCGTGCTACGTGGCCAGTGAGTTTGTGTGGGTGGCTACTGTCTTTTTAAGTGGTCCCGCAGGACCCGCCTTGGGCCTGGCTTTGTGTTTCCCAGCACCTTGGCCAGCCATTGTCACCGGTGCTGTGACTGTGACGTGCTCAGAGGGTTTTGCACCAGTGCACGGGGGTGCTCATGCTCAGTGCAGCTACAGGGTCAGCCCCTGCCCTGGACAGTTTGTTTTCTCAGTAGATGAAGGAAGGATGATTATCCCCTGTTTTACAGATGGGGAAACTGAGGCACAGGGTGATGACCGGTAGGAATTGAACCCAGATGTCCCAAGTCCCTCCTCCTTCCCTAAGCCCGAGTGCCCCTGGAGGTCGCTGTGAATGTGTGAAATGGGCCAGCATGCCTGAAGTCAGTATCTGCTTTGGGAATACAGTGGCCAGTCGCTGTATAGAGAGGGGTGGCAGCGCCGTTGGAGTGGGTGCGTTCTAACGGGGGATCGAGTAGGTGACCAAGGTCAAATGGCTGCATTTCCATGGGGACAGCAAATTGTGGCATCAGTGTTATCAGGCTGCTTGGGAACAAACTACCCAACAGGGCCCTGTGCTGTGCTGGGCATGTTTGTACACACCGTCCCCGCACGCATGTGTGCTCTCCTTGTGCCAGTTGGTAGAAACCCCCTTCCCTGTGACCGAGAGTGGGGTCCCCGTCACGCTGCGCAGACATGCACTGACAGGCCACGCCCCAAAGAACTCACATGCGAAATAGACAAAAGGTGGTGATGGGGAAACTGAGGCATTGAGCGGGAAGAGACTTGTCCAAGGTTGGGGCAGAGCTGGGATAGAACCCAGGAGTCCTGACTCCCAGTCCAGTGCCCAGCCACTGCAATCTGCTGTCTCCCCAAAAATGGCAAAAGGGGGTTTACGCTGGTGAGAGCAGAGATCACAGAGCTGGGGAGAATTTGGCTGGGGCGGAGTGCTGGAGGGATACATAGTGAGGATCGGACAGAGAAGGGAGTCAGGAGCTTAGGAACAACCAGACTGGATAAGATCCATAGGCCCACCCAGCATCGTCTTCCCCAGCCTGGTATCCCCCCCCTTGCCACCCTCAATCGTACCTGAGGCCTGCCCAGCCTGGTATCACTCCACCTGTCAAGGCTGATTCCCCACTATGGCATGTTGAGTGTAGAAGGTGTGGGCCCGCAAGGATTCCAAAAAATAATGCTGGCCATTCCAGGCTGGTATTAAACTCCCAAGGTCACAGCTTCTCTCTGCCATCCCTGTGGGGTACTCTCAAGCCCTTTCACCCCCCCACCTCCCGGAAGAGCTGAGAAAGAAAAACAAAGGAAATCAGCTGTTGCCACCAGTTAATTAAACAACATATGCACAAACGTCTTAGGACACAAAAAAAACCCCAATCCTATTCTTAAAAAAGGTAAATTTGATTAAAACCAAAAAGAAAGAAAATACATCTGGAACTTAGGTTATTGCTAGATTTAAAAAGAGCAAATATAATAATTAAGCATCAAGAATGGTTTTCTTGAGGTCCAGGTTAATGGTTAAAAGCAAAACAAAAGCATTTGGGGGCTAACCCAGAGGAATTCACAAGCCAATAAGGGGAAAAAAAAGAGATAAACCTAATTGTGTCTTCCTAGACATTCTCTGATCTACTTACATATCTGGGGGTTTCAAATAACCAGTTTCTAGGTATGATCTGATGGTTTTTCATATGTGGTTTAAAGCTTCCTACAGCATAGTTCAGCCCTGTTCCTGCTCTGTGTCTTCTCTCCCCGGAGAACAACAGACAGACAGACAAAGGGAAAGTTTTTTCCCAATTTTAAAAAGTCCTAGCCCTCCCATTGGCTCTTTTGGTCAGGTGCCCACTCCCTTCCTTTTACCTTTGGGCTTTTTTAACCCTTTACAGGTAAAGCAAGTAGAGAACAGCTATTAACAGGTATTTTATAGCTGGTTGGGTGTCCATAAAAAGGAGGCCCCCCTCCCCTTCATTTATCACACGCCCCCCAAATCACAGACGGTGTTGGCCAGCCTGGTTCAGGTCGGGTCCACACCAGCTGGGATTTCTTCCTGAAGGTTTAGGAAACAGAGTTAATAAGATACGGGCACCTCTAATTTTACTGCTAATTACATGAAGAACTAAACAGTATTTTTCACATTTCAAGGACTACAATGACTTAGAATACAGGGACATTTTTACCCAGCTGATTCTGGGAAACCTTCCCGGGAGAGTGCATCAGCCACTTTGTTAGAGGCTCCTGAAATGTGTTATATTTTAAAATCAAAGTCTTGAAGAGCTAAACTCCACCGAAGAAGTTTTTTGTTAGTTTTTTTGGCTCTGTGAAGCCACTTCAGTGCAGCATGGTTAGTCTGCAGGTGGAAACGGCATCCGCAAATATATGGGCGTAGCTTCTCCAGAGCATACACAATGGCGTAACATTCTTTTTCTGAGACTGAGCAGTGGCTTTACTTCTCAGAAATTTTTTTGCTGAGAAACACGACAGGATGGAATTGTTGATCTTGTCCTTTCTGCATTAAAACTGCTCCTACACCACACTTGGAAGTATCTGTGGTTACAATGAACGGTTGGTCGAAGTTCAGGGTCCTTAGTACAGGGTCAGACGTAAGGATCACCTTAAGCTGGTTAAAGGCTTTGTGACACTTTCTCAGTCCACTGAACTGCATTTGGGTTTCTTTTTCTGGTTAGGTCTGTCAGTGGGGTGGCAATTTGGCTGTAGTGTGGTACAAATCGTCGCTAATACCCGGCCAAGCCCAAAAAGGATTGGACCTGTTTCTTTGACTTAGGGACAGGCCAATTTTGGATAGCATTTACCTTAGCTTGTAGGGGGTTGATAGTTCCTTGACCCACCTGAAGTCCAAGGTACGTTACCCTGTTTAGGCCTATTTGACATTTTCCAGCCTTAACAGTTAACCCTGTAGCCTCCCTTGTGTGCTGGAAGACAGCTTGGAGGTGTTCTGCCCATAAATCTGAGAATATAGCCACATCATCAAGGTAGGCTACTGCAAATTCCCCAAGTCCAGCCAGAAGGTTATCTACCAGTCTCTGGAAGGTTGCGGGTGCATTTCGCAGTCCGAAAGGGAGCACATTAAATTCATACAGCCCTACACGGGTGATGAAGGCTGACCTTTCCTTGGCTGGGTCATATAGCAGCACTTGCCAGTACCCCTTAGTTAAGTCTAAGGTGGAGATGAACTGGGCACATCCCAGTTTCTCCAATAGCTCATCTGTGTGTGGCATTGGATAGTTTTCTGGGTGAGTTACAGCATTTAGCTTACGGTAGTCCACGCAAAAACAGATTTCCCCGTCTGGTTTGGGAACCAGAACCACTGGAGAGGCCCATGCACTCTCAGGGGGGCAGATTACACCCATCTGTAACATGTCCTTGATTTCCCTTTCTATTGCGGTTTTGGCTTGAGGAGCCATCCAGTAGGGTTGGGCTCTAATTGGGCGAGCATCACCTGTGTCAATGGAGTGGTACGCCCGTTCTGTCCATCCTGGGGTGGCTGTAAACATTGGCACGAAGCTGGTGCACAGCTCCTGGATTTGCTCTCGCTAAT